TTGTACAAATAATGATACACACTATGACTATTTATATATAACCCTAATTGGGCTTGGGCTAATACAACTTGAATTATATTAAATATTAAATCTAATCAAATCTAATCTAATCTAATATTTCAACACACCCCCATAATCCAAGTTGTCGAACATCCTCAAAAATAGTCAATCTGAACTATTCCTAATTTCTTTCTCAAATTCAGGAATCTGTCGATCTTCAATCCTTTGGTGAAAATGTCGGTCAACTGTGCTTCACTTGAGCAATGCCTAAATTCAAGTTCACCTTGATTTACTTTTTCCCTTAACAAGTGAAACCTTGCTTCAATATGTTTACTTCTTCCATGCAGAACTGGATTCTTCGCCAGATTTGTGGCTGACTTGTTGTCGATTTACAATACTAGAGGTTTCTTCACTTCGACAGTCATTTCTTCAAGTACAAATCTGATCCAAACTGCTTGACATGCAACATAAGATCCTGCTATATATTCAGCTTCACACGATGACAATACCACCACAGGTTGCTTCTTCGAACACCATGAGATTGGGGCACCAAATACTTGAAAGAAATATCCAGTTGTGCTTCTTCGATCTTCCTTATCTCCACACCAATCAACATTTGAAAAACAATTAACTATTGCTTCTTTGCCTTCAGAATCTCGTCGAAATAGTATTCTACAATTTATTGAACCCTTCAAATATCGAAGGACTCTTCTTGCAGCCTTCATATGTGACACTCTTGGTTCACCCATATATCTACTTACTAATCCGACTGCGAAACCTATATCAGGTCGACTGTTGCACACATACCTCAGAGATCCCACAATTTGCTTGAACAAAGTTGCATTGACTTTGTCTTCCTCTCCATTCTTCTCCAACTTCACATTTGGTTCGACAGGTGAAGATGCAGGATTCGAATCATCCATTATGAATCTCTTGAGTACCTCTTTGACATACTTTCTTTGATGTAGTACCATACCTTGCTTCGAAATTTGAAATTTCATGCCTAGAAAATAAGACAATTTTCCTAGATCCGACATTTCAAATTCCTTTGTCATCAGCTCTTTGAACTTCGACAAGTTCACCAAACTATTTCCAGTTACTAGCAAGTCATCAACATACAAACAGATGATTGTTATATCTTGTGCTACAACCTGAACATAGACACCATACTCTGATTTGCATTTGACAAATCCTAATTCGACTAAGTACGAGTCGATCTTCTTGTTCCATGCCCTAGGTGCCTGCTTGAAGCCATAGAGCGCTTTGTGCAATCTATATACTTTACTCGCTTCCTTCTGAATCACAAACCTAGGAGGTTGTGTGACATAAACTTCTTCGTCTAAAGGACCATTCAGAAATGTTGATTTCACATCTAGATGGAATGTTGACTAGCCTTGGTTGCATGCCAATGCTACTACTAGTCGATCAGTCTCTAATCATGCTACTGGAGCAAATACTTCAGAGTAGTCAAGTCCTGTTCTTTGAAGAAAACGTCTAGCTACTAATCTTGTTTTATGTCTTGCTATTGACCCATCTGCATTGTGTTTCAACTTGAACACTCACTTTAATTCGATAACTTTTGTATGTGCTGGAAATTTGACTAACTCCCATGTGTTGTTTCTTTCGATTGCATGTAACTCTTCGACCATAGCTAACTTCCACTTGTTAATCTTCAAAGCTTCACTATAGTTTATTGGTTCAGCACCTGCAAGTAAAGCAAAATGAACTAATTTTCCATCTGGTGTGATTTCATCATCACCCACCACTTCATAATCATGAAGTCTTGTTGGAAGAACTCTATTTCTTTGATGTCTTTGCCTTGTTTCAACCACAACCTCTTTGATTTCGACTGTGACAGTAGTGTCAGCAATCGCTTCTTCTTCGACTTCGACTGGATTCTCAACAATTCCTTCGACCTCTACTTCATTAGTTTCTTCGTCGAAATCAAAGTTTATTAATGATTTTTTAATTGAATTGTTAGAATTCCAATCCCAGGAAGAATTTTCATTAATCACAATATCTCGACTCAACACAATCTTCTCATTAACTGGATTGAATAGTATGTATGCACCAGTTTTATGATATCCTACCAGAATCATATGTTCACTCTTGTCATCAAGCTTCCTTCTCCTTGCATCAGGAACATGCTTGTAACACATAGAGCCAAACACCTTCAAGTGACTTACTGATGGTCGTTTGCCACTCCACACTTCTTCAGGAACCTTGTTCTTCAATATCTTAGTAGGACACCTATTCAAAATATAAACTGTAGTCGAAACAGCTTCTCCCCATAAAGATTTTGGCAAATTCTTTTGCTTCAGCATGCATCTCGCCATATCTAATATGGTTATATTTCTTCTTTCAGCAATTCCATTATGTTGAGGTGTGTAAGGAGCAGTTACCTCATGATTAACACCATGTTCTGCACAGAAATCTTCAAACATCTTGGATGTGTATTCACCACCTCCATCTGTTCGCAGAACTTTGATCTTCTTCTCACTCTGGTTTTCGACAAGTATCTTGAATCTCTTAAAGATTTCGAATACTTCGTCCTTTCGTTTGATCACATAGATTCACAACTTTCGACTAAACTCATCGACAAATGAAACAAAATATTTGTTTCCACCAATTGTATGTTCTTCGAATGGACCACATACATCTGAATGCACCACTTCGAGAATGCAGGATGATCTCATTGACATAGTCGAAACGAAAGAATTGCTGGATTTCTTTCCCAATAAACAACTTTCACCAAGTTTTTCAAGTATCTCAAGGCTTGGAATACCAGTAACCATGTCTTGAGTAATCAGTTGATTAAGTGATCGAAAATTCAAATGTCCAAACCTCAAGTGCCACAACCAACTATCCTTGTGGTCGACAACAGTTTTCAAGCATTGAACTTCTGTCGAACTGATCATAGTCTTAAATGTTCTTTTCTTCAACAATGGAGATTTTAAGACCAAATTGTTCTTTGTGTCGAACAATTTCAAAACTCCATCTTTCATGACAACTGAGAAACCTTTTTCGATTAGTTGTCCAACACTTAGCAAGTTGTATTTCATTCTAGGTATATAGAGCACATCTTTGATTATAGCTTTCCCTTCATTACTCATTTGAAAGACTATGTTGCCAGTACCATCTGCTTGTAACGAACTATTATCAGCAAGTTTTACCTTGCTCTTCTTCGACTCGTCAAAATCTGCCAACCACTCCTTTCGACCAGTCATGTGGTTCGAGCAGCCTGAGTCGAGAAACCAGATATTAGATTCAACATGGTTATCTACAACTGCACCCATAACCATCATACCACCTTCAGAATCATCTGAATCTTGGCGTGCAAGGTTCGCTCCTTCGTCCTTGCCTTTCGATCCCTTGTCTTTTCTGCACCAACAATTCTTGGCCAAGTGTCCCCAGTTTTCACAGTTATAACACTGCATACCTTTCTTATCTTCTTTGTCCTTACGATAGTTTCCTCCTCCCCTTTTCGAGGATTCAGAAGATCTATCTTCGACCTTATTCTTATAGGGATTCGACCAAGACTTCTTGCCATGAGTCTTGTCGAACTTGCCTTTAAATTTGTTGGAACCATCATCTTTTTTCCATGATTGAGCTTGCAGTGCCTGTATCGAGTCCTGAACTCTTTTCGTTTCGACAATCCTCATCTCATGCGCCTCCAACGAACCAACCAAATCTTCCACTTTAGTGGTTTCAAGATTGTTGGATTCTTGAATAGCTACGATAACGTGATCAAAGTGAGAGGTCAACTTTCTCATTACCTTATCAACTATTATCTTATCAGTAATGGTTTCACCACAACCCTTCATGAGATGGATGAGTTTCTGAACCTTCAACACATATTCTGCAACTTTTTAATCTTCTCCCATCGACAACAACTCATATTGTCGATGCAAAGTTTATAATTTGACAACCTTGACTTTCTCACCTCCTCCAAAATACTTTACCAGAATATCCCATGCCTCCTTCATCGTTTCAGCATGAGAGGTTCTGTCGAAGTTAGCAGCATCGACAGTCGTTTGAATGCAATAAGCAGCCTTGCAATCTTTCTTCTTGACTTCGTTGTGGGCTTTTTCCTGTTTTTTGGTTGCATTTGCAGCCAACGCAGGAACACCGTCGGTAACCACTTCTAGGATTTCATGGAAGCCAAACAAGGATTGCATCTGTTTTTTCAATCAGATCCAATTTTTACCGTCAAGCATTGGAAGAGAATCCAGAATGCCCTTATCACTAGCCATCTTCGCAGCGGTTGGTTTACTTGCCCTAGAAAATGACCTCTGACGTGAAATTCTTGAAAACTTGATCAAGAACAATAACCGGAAGCTCTGAATATCAATTTGTTAGTGTGTAAGGCACTTTTAGTGAGGAGAGAAAGAGAGAATAATAAAGGAAATAAGGATTTGTATTATTCAATTGTACAAATAATGATACACACTATGACTATTTATATACAATACTAATTGAGTTTGGACTAACACAACTTAGATTATATTAAATATTAAATCTAATCAAATCTAATCTAATCTAATTTAATATTTCAATAAAATATATATTACATACTAGTTTATATTTCAACATATTAATAATAAATCAATAGTTAAATGTGTGTAGATTTTATTTAAATGCATTTAAATAAAATGTATAAAAAATTATAAAAAATAAATTAAAAAATGCTACATGAGTTTTAAAACATAAATTAAAAAAAAAACACATAAACAACCATGGGAGATTTAAAAATAGATTCTAAATTAAAATAATCAACTAAGGAATTAGACACGGAATCTAAACATTATAAAAAAAAATTAAAAGAAAATCTTAAAAAGAAATAAATTGAAACTTACTAATATTAAAGAGATCATACCACAACCTACAAAGTATTGAAGAGACAAGTTTTAAAGAGGAAGGGAAAACTAAGCAATTTAGACCACAATTTGGAAACAAAAGTTATCTCACAATCCATTTACTTATAAGTAGAACCAAGAAGATTACTTTTGTAACAAAGCTTTGGCATACTCCAAGAGTTTATCAGTTTCTGGTAGAATTCCCTTCACAGCAGGATGAGCAGCAAATGCCTCAGCCCATTTCACCAATGCAGGAGTCTTGGCTTCATCAAACATCTTTCCTGTTACTTTCTCTTTTACCCTCATCCAACTCAAATAGCATCCCAAAGCAATATCAATAAATCCGATGTTATCTCCTCCAAAAAAGTGGTTTCCTTTACTGCATTTGTTGATCACATCTTCTAATGTCGCTAGAACTACTTCTAGTTGCTCGAAATATGCCTTCTTTGACTCTTCATCTTTGGCGAATAAACCATTACGCATGGAGTTGTAGAACTAGTCTCCCAATTGTATAAAAAAATGCATCAAAACATGGAGAAATAAAACAATATCATTCAAGGGGAATAGTGAAAAAGAATTAGTCCCTCATTTTTAAAATGATTTTCATTTTGAGAATCCTCAAACTCCACAGTCTCACACGATACCTCTTTTCTATTTTGTCTAAAACAGACCCTCCTATTGATTTTTTAATAGTAACCTTGCAGATGTTGACTTTATAGTTTAATAATGTAGAGTAAGACAACAACACAATCATGGCAAAATGCTTTTTTGCTGCTGCCTACGATGTATTTTTAAAATTCCTCAACTAAATATTATTTGTATCAAGTAGGGAAGAAACACAATTTTGCACTGTCCAATAATTTCTACTCAAATAGAAGATTTATATTGTCGATTTTGAGGGTTCCATTATTGTTATGTTGGTAAGGATGAGAGTAAGGGTGTTTCTCGTATGGTATCTCATCTTAAAATGCTACACATATGTAATGACAAACGGAAAAGTGCAATACCGAATGAAATTGAGAACGATCAGGTTTCATTTACACCATTGGATTGGATGAGTCTTTGAGGGTGGTTGAGTAATGGTTATATGAAAGGTGTATGAGCATTCATCCCATGAGTCAGACATGTCATCATCCTGATGGTCTGATTCTTGTTACTCAGGGGACATGGGAGGTCAGAAGTCACATTGTGGTTATTGTAAAAATATCTACAACAGATTCAGAGTAACCCCGAAAAGAACAAGGAGCATGTTTTGGATGCAAGGTTGTTGGAAAGAGTCCTTATAACACATATCTTCAACGTAAAGAGTATACATCTTAGATGGCATCTTGTTTTCTCCCAAACATTTAAAGATGCTCTTTATAAGGTGGTTGTTGATCTGGGATCAGTAGGTCCTTGGGTTCGGTTGTTACTTCTTTCTCGTTGTACTTTATAGATGGTTAAGCCTCAGAATAGACAAGATCGCAAGTCTGGAAATTAAAAGTCCTTGCAACAACAAGACATTTTGGAATGCTTAGCTACTTGAAGAGATGCAGATAGCCTTGGCAAGTTAGTTGATAGTGTGTTAGGCAGCTTTAAGAAAGATAAGTTGGGTCATGGGGAGTTCATATTGATGAGAAAGATAAAAATATGAGCTCTAACGTCAACCAATCTCTCCGCAAGGTTGTAAATGGCCATTTCACAACAGTTGTAAAAGTGTTGAGTCATCCGGAGTGGTCCTTATAATGGACATACAATAAAGACTTTGGAGGCTAAGCAACCGTAAAGACCACCTCCCTCTATGTCGACCACCTTGTTCTTCGAAACTTCCTTAGTGACTGAAGTTGTTACTATCTTCAAGTGCACTAAATCATTTTCCTAAGGGACGTCATGTGTTAGATGGTTTGCGAGCTCAACATATATTAGGCGCACTGTGTCGAAAAGGTTTTGTTGTGACAAGATATCGTGAGAGAGTTTGTTGCCTCTGCTTTTGTTACTAACGCGGTGGGATGCAACTCATTATTTTAGGTTTTATTTGGAGGCAACTTCAACCACTAGAGGAGTTTTAGAGAAAAAGGTGGTTGACATAGATGGAGGTGATTTGTAAAGTGCTCAAATGACTCTCTTCTTCCACATTGGGACACACCTTTGTGAGAGGGACACCACTTGTCTATCTAAAACCTTAAGGTGATAGATGAGTGGGTTCTCTCACATATAAAGTGCTCAATCTTCCCTTTTTATAATCAATGTGGGACTTCTTCCTCACACTTAATTCTCAACACATATAAAAGATGTTCAACTAAGGAATTTTAACAGACACGGATGTGGACAACAGCAATTTCGCCATATTTACGTTGTTGTCTTACTCAGCAATTTCGTCATATTTATGTTGTTGTCTTAATCTGCTATGTTGTTAATTTCTCTGGTTTTAAGTCTGTGTTGGTACTGTGGTTTGTGAATGATTCTTGTATGCTAGTGGCATTTTGAGTGTCAAGTGGTTGCGGTTTTGGAGGAGAGAAGTGTAATTGAAATGTAGTAAGAATCTCTATGCCATTGTTGTTGTTCTGGAAGAAGAAAAGATGTTGCAACTTTTGAAGTGTAAAACAAAATCTGGGTTGGTTTTAAACCTCAAAATCTAGGTTCGTTTTGCAACTGCTATTGAGTTCTTGCTGTGCCAATGCAAAGACTGAATTCTGATGTATCTCAACGTCACTCCAAAATTTATTCAAGAAGCAACTTAAAAATCTCACATCAACAACTTACATAATAAACACCTTGAATTCATACAAACATAGATTAAGCAAATATTAATATATGAATTTACATTTATCTCTTTGTGTTTTCCAATAACATGAAATTTCATTTTTTTTTTCAATAATCGTTTCATATAAAAAAAATTAGTTACGTTTCCTTAATAAATACTGGATGCAGGAGAAATAAATATAAAAAAAAAAAAAAAAAACTCATAAAGATTAGTAAAAATGAATAAGGATTAGAACTTAGAAGTACCTTGTCATCTATGTAGGCAACCCAAAATCTAGCAATGGCTTTATCAAAAGCATTTGAAGGAAGAATAGAGGGAACACCATTATCTTTCCAAACTTCATCAATATATTCAACTATGTTTGCAGATTCAGAAATGGGTTTATCTCCATGAATGAGAACTGGGATTTTCTTGTATACAGGATTGGACTGAAGAAGCAAGTCACTTTTGGAGTTTATGTTTTCTACATTATTCTCATAATCCAAACCCTTGATGCTAAGAGCAATTTGTACCCTCACTGCAAATGGACTGTACCAACCACCCAAAAGCTTCAACTCATTAGTGGCCATAGCTCCTTAGAAACAAAAATATTATGATTCTACTAGATAGGCTATGAAAGAAAGAGTAAATTGAGAGAGAGAGATAATAGATTTGTGGTGTGTAAATAGTATTAACTATGAACAACTATTTTTGTGATACAATTAATATCAGGTAGGGACATTGTGTCTGTATTGTCCATTCCATAATCAAAGCTAGCAAACAACAGCTGCTAGTAGTGAGATCTGGTACACAATAAACAAAGTGGCAACTTGTTGGTAGTCACATGTCTTATAGTCCTTCCGTATCAAAAGGAGTATTATTTAAGATACAAATATGTAATAGTAATAATGTTATAGTAAGATATTATATTTTTATTAAATTAATTTTATAAATATATTGAAAGTAGTATATAAAATAATAATTTTAAAGATATAATTGAAAAAATAGTAGTAATTATTTTTATATTGAAAAGTGATAATAATATTTATTTTCAAATAAATTTTGTTTACTAAAACGACACTAATTTTGAAATGAATAGAGTATCAAACTTGAAGATTCGTCCATCCATCGTTGTGACGAGTAAGATACTCTTCATTTCCTTAAAGAAATGGATAGCTCTGTTACTATAGTTTTAGGTGTAAATTTTATGGGTGTGTTTGTTTCGAGTCAAGATAACCTGTGTGTTTTCTTCCCACTTAATTTTCTCACCTTGTTTGGAACAAGATAACCTATAGAAACATTTTAACTTTCTGCTCACCTTACAACAATGGTTATGGAATGTGTATTTTCTTGAATCTATTATTTATTTACAATTTCAATTTTACTCTAATATAATTTTTCTATCTTTTGCAGATTTTAATTTTAATTTAGAGAATCACAATTTTATCTATCTCTCAAAATTTGCTTGAATTTTCCTTCTTTTGAAAAGTATAATTTTCAAGCTTCGATGATTTTTTATGTTGTTGTTTATCTATTTCATTGTCATTTATGTTGTGTAGAACATTGTCGCCGCGTATCAAAATTTTATAGGTTAAATGTCTTCTACCCCCTGCTATAGTAGTGAGATTGAATTTATCCCCTTTTTAAAAATAAAATTTTTTCGCCCCTCAACAAACTTCGAACAAAGAAATAGTGAAATCGAATTGTTGCTTTAGCAATGTATAATGCAAACAAAGAAATATTCTCAAAATTTGAAGTTCCATGGGACTCGAACCCATGAACACTTGGGTGTTCTAACATTCTTCCAACCACTCGGCCAATTATTGTTTGTTGAACATGTTTACCTCAAAATCAATTAATAATAAAGTCATTTAATTTTAACAACTTAGAAAATTCCATCTGCATCTTCTTCCCTAATTTGCAGAGCTTCATCTTCTTCCCCAATGTTCCATGAGACTCGATTTTGTTATGAATACATTGGGGAAACTTATCTCTGAATCAGAACCATTCATCCTGAAAAAACTCACTCATCTCTATGCACTATCTCTCTCTGCATATGATTCTTCAATTTACCTCATCACCTTTGCAACAACAATGCAGCAACATCATCATTGTATCATCAACAACATCACAACAATAACAATACCATAACCTCAACAACATCACACCAACACAGAACCTTAGCACAAGAACGCAATAATTACGAAAATGCAGAAATTCAGAGAAGCAGTTTGAGTCGAAGAAGAGGAAGTGTATAAGAGAAAGAAACACATACTTTGTGTTCTCATCATCTTTATCGCTCGGAAGGACCACCGGAGTTTGCTTCCGGTAGGTAAGTCTGAATCCTTCCATTTCTCTTTATTTTTATTACATCCTCTTTCATGTTATGCTGAAGTTTAAACCGTCTTGAACGAGCATCTTGAGACTACACGTCAGGATCTTCGAAGCTCTGCTGCCTAGGGCATTTACGATGCAAGAAGAAGGAGAGGCGGAAGTGTATCAAGGAGATGACAAATCGAGTGAGAAAAACAGATAATCTGTGAGAATCAAGAGGGCAAGAGGTTTTGTTGTTCTTCCTGCAGCGATAAGAGGAGATCTTTACTTCCCCAATGTTCCATGGGACTCGATTTTGTTATGAATACATTTGGGAAGAAGATGAGGCAAATTAGCTGACTTTATTATTAATTGATTTTGGGGTAAACATGTTCAACAAACAATAGTTGGCCGAGTGGTTGGAAGAATGTTAGAACACCCAAGTATTTATGGGTTAGAATCCCATGGAACTTCAAATTTTGAAAATATTTCTTTGTTTGCATTATACATTGCTAAAACAACAATTCCATGTCACTATTTATTTGTTCGAAGCCCAATCAACAAACAGATTCTGGCCACGTCTGTATTTCAAATGGAATCTTGGGTTAAAAGGTTTTTTGTTAAGGAATCTATGTTTGTTAAGGGGCGAATTTTTTTTTATTTTAAAAGAGAGGTAAATCAAATCTCACTACTATTGTAGGGGGTGGAAGGTATTTAACCCAAATTCTACTCAGTGTAAAATGTCATTGTAGCATATAAGAAATTGGTGTGTATCAAAAACTGTGGCGTGAGAACATTATAGTGTGTTGAACATTATCGTTGTGCATAGAACTCTACTACGTGTGAAACTCTGTCATGTGTTGAACAACGTCGGCGTGTATTAAAATTGTTACATGTTAAACATTAATGCATGGAAAATAATGATGTGTGTCAAACATTGTCGCAATGTATTGAATCATGTTGCGTGTAAAACAACCATGTGTTAACAATACTGACATGTATTCAACATTTATGCATATCGACCATATTGGACATGTGACTCCACACACAATAGGGGGGTTGAATTTGGGTTTTAAAAAATGATAGTTTGAAAACATTTCATTATTATTTGTTGTAATATGCCTTAAAACCTCAAGTGAGAAAAGAGAAAGAAAAGAGACATATTTCGATACTGACAATTTTGGACTTGTTTGTGGATCCGTTTGTTAATGGGTCATATCTTGATCCTGTTAATATTTTGTTAGTTATAAATGTGGATTTTTTTCTCATTTGTTAGGTGGGAGTTGCATATGGTAAAAAAATAGGGTTTTGAAATCAAGGGAAAACTTTTAGAGTTGTCTAGAAGGGTCAGATAATAATTTTTGATACCTTGGGTGAATGGTCAGATAATACTTCTTGATACTTTGGGTTTAAGTGATTCATATATTGAGTGTTGGAGAGGTTGGAAAACACTTGGGTAGAAAATGGGGGTTTATTCTTGGGAACTTTCAGGATTTGTTCTTGGGAACTCTGAAGGGGAAGGGTATTTTATTATAGTTTATCCATAATCTCTTGTAATAATTTTCTGAGTATAGTGAATTGGAGAGTCGTTCTCTCCCCCAAACATTAATCATTTGATCGAATTAGGTAAATAATTTTCTTGCGCTCTTGCCTACTATTATTTTTATTTATTGAGGTCATTTGTTTGATTGTCGTTATTCTTCTCCCCCATATATCAAAAGTGTTGATTGAAATTGAACCTTGTCATATCTTAACCAGTGGCGTCCACCATGGGGCGAAGGGGTTAAATCTATAAGTATGCCACATGGGTTCCAAATGGGACATCGAGAAGTTTTTCAGAGACAACGACTTCAGATTATGGAAGGTAAAGATGCAACCAATACTAATTCAATAAAAATTTCAGAAGCATTGAAGGGAGACACATATATGCCTGCAAACTTTACACAAGCTGAGAAAATCGAGATGGTGGATACGACCAAAAGTTCCATTATCTTGTGTCTCGAACATAAAGTATTAAGAGAAGTCGTGAGGAAGAATATTGTGGCTGAGATATGGGTCAAGCTTGAATCGTTATATATGACAAAGTCATTGGCTCACTGGTTATTACTAAAACAACAACTTTATTCCTTCCATATGGTGGGGAATAAATCTATTGTGGAGTAACTGGAAGAATTTCACAAGATCATTGATGATTTGCAAAAGATAGATATTAAAATTGAAGATTATGAAAAGGTTATACTTTTATTAAGTTTATTACCCAGATCCTTTGAGTACTTTAAGGATGTCTTTCTTTATGGTAAAGAAGAAACTTTCACTTTAGATGAAGTCCAGACAGACATAACATTAAATGAGTTAGAAAAGTTGAAAGATTTGAAGGTTGAAGATAATGATGAAGGCTTAAGAGTCTCAATAGGAAGGAGTGAGAGTAGAGGAAACCAAAAAGGAAAGAGATCCAGATTAAAGTCCAAGTCCAAGGTTTTTGAGAAGTCAAAATTTAAATGCTTCACTTGTCACAAAATCGATCACTTCAAGAGGGATTGTCCTGAAAGAGGGAACAAAGGTAATTTTGTTCATATTGTAATTGCCCCGGACGAAGATGATTATGAAAGTGTTGGCTCACTAGTGGTAACTGTAACACCCTCTAAAACCCCGTATAAAATTTTGCAATTAATTAAAATCATATTTACAGAGTACATGTATTAACGAGGATGTCACGATTCTCTTTTAAATAAAAACAAGTTCCTGTCATGCATAACATAGAAGCAACTCATACATGTTTACACAGCGGAATAATTTAATTAACAAAACCAATGTTATAATATTTTCAAAATCATCAGGGATTAACACCTAGAATATATCAACATCACATTATAACAAACATAAGGAATAAACGAGTCTGACTAAAGCAGCTCGACAAACAAACGTTCCCGGAGTTACAACTATCAGAGCATGACCCGGACAATACTTAAACGGAAATAAACTAGAAACAACAAGCCTTCGCCAAGCACCTGAACGAAGCTCCTCAATCTGAAATATTCAACAGTAAGGGTGAGCTTCTCAATTATACATTTGATTATACGTTCATAACAATCAATTCAGAAAACCATAAGCATCACCCAAACAGTTAGCATGTTTCATAGTTTACGAAAACCTTTACAATTCATATATTCATACATCTTACTTTTCATATTTATAATTAACATCAAACATCGTTAACAATTTAGCAACAATACATGCCCACAGTCAATTAAATACAACATTGGAAAAATCATCCATT